CTTGTTAAATGTTTTGAAAAAACTGTCATAGCGATTGTAAAAAACTGTAATTTACCTGGCAAAATAAAGTTTAAATAAATGACATAAATGCTCTAATAGTACATAGAATGGAAGTAATAGTTAGTGGTTTATTTATTGTTAGTTACTGTAATGTTGCGCTGCTTTATTTGGTTAATCGTCCAGTCTGTGAAGAAGGCATTCAAGTAAGAATTGCATTGTAGTATGACTCATTTCCTGGTGCATACAATTTATATTAGGTCAGCGTTCACTGTTCGACTTCTGATATTCAGATCGAGATCTAGGTCAAACTGGTTTGTTCGACTTTCAAGAAATTAGAGTTCTAGTGAGTTCGAGAACCGAGGTACCACTGTATATGTGCTGTTGGATGTACAATTACAATGGCAGACAGTATCCAGACTGGTGAATTAGTTAGTACACTAACACTATATACTCAACCTGTATGCAGGACATATACAGAGAGAAGCTGGACTAAAGGAGACACCTTCAGGATTAAGACTGGTGGAAATACTTCAAAAGTACTAGACTACGCTCGCTGAAGTACTATCTCACGTTTCGAAGAATAAGTTTTCCAATTGTTATGAATACGGTTATTTTCTGTGAATATTGCAATTTCATTATGTTTGTGAAAGCTGGACAATGTAGAAGCAGGATGGCTTTGAACTCTGAAGTGGGTGAAGGCTTCTAAGAGCATTCCAGACAACAAGGAAGAAAGGTAGATTATTGAATTGCCACTTGAAGCACTAATGAATCTGAATCTGTTTGGGCATTGTGAGAAGATGCTGAGAATGAGCATAATGACCGGAAAAGGTGAAAGTGAAAGATAATAATTATTCTTTTAATGCTGTTATTTTATATATATTAAAAAAGTCGCCCACTACAGCAGAAAGCTGCAAAAGAATCCACTCTGAATGGTTCAATCCTGAGCCTCCATCCCGAGTCTCCATCCTGAGCCTCCATCCTGAGCCTCTATCCTGAGCCTCCATCAGGGTGGAGGAGAGCCGTTCGCCACCTTCTTTAGGGTGGAGCACAGGCAGGGTCAGTCACGGTGGATTCATTCCAGGCATGAAACACTGACACTGCTGCCTGATGAAGGTACCACACAATGCATCTCAACCGGACAAATGGGATAGGCAGCTGACTCATCTCTTTCCTGAGTGTTCGCCTCTTAATAGCTGAAACGCTCCTTAGTAAAACTGCTTTATTAAGGGAAACAAACGTAAGAGTTCTCCTGCTCCTTGCAGACCCGGTTTTGGCTGCGGCAGGCGCTGCCGCGCTCTAATGATGGGGTCCTGGTGACCGCTGACAGGTGTACGTGGACCTTCGTGCCTCCAGACCCGGCAGGAAGCACCGCTTAAAAAAAAAGCGTCTGTCGGCTTTGGACCGGCCCGTTTCCGTTCCTGTTCCGATTCTCTCCGCCTTCCGCTTCGTGGGATCGTCCCGCTGAGCGCCAACTGTGCCCGAAGCACGCGCTGGCCGTCCGGCGTCATCGGCGGCCTGGGCGAGGCGCGCAAGGTCGGAGGCGCGCATTTCTGCAGCGGAAAGGCGTGGCCCGAGTCACGTGACGTCATGTGACCTGGGGGGAGCTGCCGGCACATCCGATCTCGGCCCCGATCGCCGACCTCAGCGATGCAGGTGATGCTTCTACATTGCGATCCTCTGCGGATCCATCTCACCGTGGGTCGTCCAAGCTTAGGACCTCGGAGGCTCTACGTACATTCGACGAGGCCCAGGAAGTTAAAACGACCCCAAGAAATCTTCTGCGAATGAGACACGGTGTGCCGGAATGGCCGGGACAGCGGCCTGATTACAGGGAAGCAGCCCATCCACGGAAGAAGATATCCGAGTAACAGAAAGTGTCTGTCAAAATTATGTGCTTTGTGCAGGTGTGGGCAGAAAAAGACCACAGCCAAATCATAACTCCCAATCAGAATAAAGAAAGAGAACAGGCTGCGGGGGCTATGTCCCCCCCGCAAATCCAGGGGCACACTCTCCTAACCCCCTTCACCCTCCTCACCTGTCCCAGAGCAACTGGAGCCTCATTTTCCACAACAAATCATAACAAGCAAGCCGCACTGACCCCTCTAATTAGCCCCGTCCGAATTCTGCAGGCTCGATTATTTTCCAGAATCGCCTCCCTTCTATGTTATGCAGGGCGAGTGGCCGAAAACACCGTTTGATGTTAGTCCTGTTTAACCTTTCGCTCTTCAGACTGCGAGAGCTTGCCCAGTTTCCATACTCGTTTCACCGCATCCTAGATGAGACAGTTACGAATGCTCATATGTTAAGTGATGAAACCTTGACAATTTGCGCCGTTCGTCTGGTGGATACACTAAAACAATACAACTTTAAAAGGTACCACTTATCAAACACTGTCGGGAAAAATGGATACAGCTCTGATGCAGTTTATTTACCACGGTACAAAAAACATGAATCGCCCCCAATGGTACAAAATTGTCCATTTCTGTATCTTATATTTACTTACAGCCAGGGTACAACTGATAGACCCTTGAGGGTACAGCACCAGTGACAAGTAATTATACCCTCAAATGTACAAATTGATATCTTTGTTTGTGACAATGTAGGGGCAATAAAATAGTAAAATAGTTTGTCCATAGTAGAGTCATAAGAACATAGACATAAGTAATTTCCCCGCTGCGGCCCAGCAGAGTGGATCGTGCACATGCCACAAACCATCCTCAACAGCAGGGAAGCAGGAACTGACATTAAATCTATAATATTTACATGAAGTAAAAAGCTCTTGGGCTGAGTGTTATCCGGTAATTAGGCCATAAAGGCGTCAGTGAGGTACCATTCGCCAACAGGTGTGTATTAATGAATCAGCAGGACATGGGTAGGTCTTTACAGATCTTTCATGTTCCGCTGAAGCTGCACACAGTTACTGTGTAGCGGACAGGGTGTAGCGGAGTTTCCAGTGCGTCGGACGCGTGTGAGGACACAGCACAGTGACGCCTGGCCGACTCCTTGACTGCCTCTTGTTTTTAATGTGCTATTTGCCTCACTTGTACGTCGGTTTAGACAAAAGCGTCTGTTAAATAAAATGAATAGAAATGATAATCACAGCAGATAAAAAACACACATTCACCAATAATCACATTAGATAAACACCCTGGATAAACACACACTGTTAGACACATTGGATAATAGACGCTGTCAGAAAACAGGGCACGTCTCTGATATAATTGTGCTCCCCAAGATATAAACATCATGAATAGACCCCCAATGGTACAAAAATGTTAATCAGAGTCCATTTCTGTACCTTAAAAGGTATGTTTACCTACAGCTAGGGTGCAATTGGCAGACCCTTGAGGGTACAGCCCCAGTGAGCAGTAATTGTAACCTGAAAGGTACAAATTGGTATTTTTTAGTGAATAAACTTACTGTCAAACACATACTGATAAACACAGAATAAACATGGAATCATAGACAAACACATTGGATAATAAACACACTCACTGTTAAACACACTTGATAAACACACAAACAGGGCAAAAGTGACATACATAGGGAGAAGCAAAAGTGGTCTCTATTGCTCAGTTGTTCATTAACTGAAGGCGATCGCCTTTCCTACTCTGACAGCACACAGGACTCAGGATCTATGAACTCAAAGTGTGCCTGAGCTGAATGCTGGGGCACCGTCAAACGGCAAACATCAGTTAAGTAGGGCGGAAATAGCATGTGAGAGCAGAGGCTGTTACTGTTCATTAGCTGTAAGTGTCAAACCCCGAGCATCCTGAGAAGCGTCCCAACCCGCAGCCTGGCTAATGAAACGACCCCTTTCCTAAGTGGCAGGTACTCCGGATTCACGCCTATGCTGAAGTGTCCGCGTTACCCGTATACACTCATATACCGAGTGAGAAGGGGGGCATTTTACGGACATTATCAGTTTACCCAAATCAGCTCCCCGGGCGGCCGGGACAGTACCTGCTCGGGTCCTTGGAAGCAGATCCGGCACCGCAAGCCGTCCATGCCGCTGCTCATCGATACATCGTCCAGGCCCGGCGGCAACCGGGGCTCCCCTTCCTCAAACGTCAGGCTCCGCGGACGCGGCTCCGTCCCGTAGTACTCCTCCTCATCATCCCGGGGGGAGCAGCCGGGGAACGGCGGCCAGCCACAGCCGCGCATCCCCAGCGCCTGCGAGCCCGCGTCGGTCCGGCGGTCGGACCGCATCAAGACCAGCACCTTCAGCTCGTTGAAAAACATGCGGATCCGGTACTTGAACATGACTGATTATTTATAGATATTCGATCTATGAAATGATATCAATTTTAAAAAGATGCGACTTCTGTCCGATACTCCGGATGCTCCTGAGTTTTGCAAGCAGTATTATTATTATTATTATTATTCGTCTGTAGATGTTATGGATTTATTATATTAATACATAAGCATAACAGCTACAAAAAAAGCGTGAAAAGTATAGGCTAAGTAATAGGAGATTCAGAAAGTGAGCATGTTTGCAGTGGTTTTGCCCTCTGATGGCGTTAGTACATAAAGTACATAAAGGGAGCGGCTTTTAAAAGCAAAAGGAGAGTGACAGCTCGTCTCTTCTATTTTCGCTGAGCTTCAGGGATCGGCGCCCCGGACCCCGGCGGCCGCCCGGCGGACACACTGTCCCGGGTTCGACACGGCAGGTCCGTCTGGTGCTTCGCAAGGCGGCGGAGGAGGAGAGAAACGGGGCGCAGCCGGGCGCAGGAGCCGTGCGAGGACTTTTAAAAAGGGGAAACAGCGCGGTAACAGTACATCCACACGGTCATATCTGGGCGCAGTTCTCTCCAACAGCATAATCCGACAGGACGCGTTAGCGGCGGCGGGTTTCTTTTGTCTGCATGTCGGCGGTAGCCCGGTTGTCATTTCATCATTAATTCCGTGTTGCTTCGGGAGATGCCTTCAGGATCCGTCCCGCACCGATTCGGTTTCACACCACTTCTGTCCGCATTTAAACGTTTCGAAAACAGAAAACATCCCCACACTGCACATCCATGGCTTTCCCTCCGCTTCTCCTCCTCGGGAGGAGCTGGCGTGCCGCGGATCGCTGTATCAGTCGGGATCGCAGCCCGAGGTGTGGATGCAGCCGCGGCGGGAAGCGTAATGACAGCAGCTTAGACAGTGCGCCCGTTTGCGGTGGGCTGCTCGTTGAAGCCGCTCTCCCTCCGCTTCCCCTCCTTCGATATTCTCGCTTTCCTCCTCGGCCGGGGGATCCTGCTGTCCGAGGTGCTGATCCTGATATGACGCATGCAGTCACATGCGGTGCGACCCGGCAGGTCTCAGCGGTGCCTCTGAGCCCCGTTTGCGTGTCTCTGGGTGTGTCGTTGTGTGTCCCCCTCTGTGTCTCTCTGTGTGTCCGTGTGTGTGCATGAATGTGCTTAATTGTTTTTCTGAACACTACAGTCAGTATCTTCCAGAGTTCCAAATAACAATAATTAGGTTTAAAACTTACATTATTCAACCTATCAATAAATAAATAAACCAACCAATTAATGTGCATTTATGCACGTTTTCACAAAAGTTTGCCACAGAAACCTTCCCCATTACAACTGCCCTCATCCCACTGCGGGGCGCTTTTTCTCTGTCAGCATTTTACACTTGTTTAATCCCTTGATCCGTCCCGGTAAGTTCACCCCTCCCCGAAGCGCTCAGGCTTGATTTGAAAATCGATGGTGCTCCTTTGGTCTGGACCAGCCTGTGATTGATGACTCTGGTCCCGCAGAAGAACAGGATAGATGCTGAAATAACCCCGTCACGCTTGGGCTGTTTGCTGCCATCAACGACCCGTCCAGGAGGGGGCAGCACATTCAATCCTGTGCTACCTACACCTAAAAGGGCAAATCTGCAACTGTGAAGGCATCAGCCCATTTCACGTTTGTCTGAATTATTGTGATGGGGTCAAGGAGCTTTGAGGAAAATCTGGTCTTATGCAGTGTGTAATAATAACAATAATAATAATAATAATAATAATAATAATAGCTATATAATGACTTACACTAGACCCCCTGGTAAGCAATGACGTCCTTGCCCAGAATTAATTGATCTGTTATAATTACTATTTATGTGGCTGGGTAATCTAAAGTACTATAATAAAATGTGCAGTTCAGTTGAATGATCTGTAGAGCTGACTCAGACAAAGGGACGAGGGGGAGGGGATGGTGACCGTTTAAAGGACTCCAGGGGGGTACAGGGGGGAGATGGATGGGAGCTGTAATGGGAACATGACCCCCATGGAGTAAAGCTCAGAGTACAGCAAGTACAGGTTAACATCTAAGGTCATAAACAAGCATGACTGACCACCAAGTACTCAAGAGTACTCAATAAATACTAGATGTGTAGCATAATTCTGGGGACACAAAATACATTTTGACACTTGTCCTACCTATATTTCAGAAAGACGCTGCACATGTACATGTCCTGTATCAGCAGAAGCCAGGCCTATGGCAGCAGTCACAGAGGGTGCTGATTTTTATACTATATAAGTTAAATTAATAATTATTCTCATTGTCACGTAAATAATCATTTCAATAAAAAGTCCTCTGGTGTTTCAGCTGTGAGTTAACATGGTCTAAAGTCAGAGGCCCATGAAGTACTGTTGTCTGAGTCAGTACAGGGCATTAAAGGGGGTCAGAGCATTTTATATATTCCTTATCTTTGAGCACCATAATTCCCAAAACCTACATAAGGATACTTGGTACTCATGACTGTATGTTTAATCATTCGGTTTGATTTACCAATACTGTCACAGTGGTGATGGCTTTTACTGGGCTTCTTCCAGGCTGTCGTCTGAAAATAAAATAAAACGTCGACAGACACATTTGTCCCACTCCAGTTCCAGTAAGACACCGTAATGTGCATTTCCTGTTTCATTGGAAGCCATATTGGCAGTCGCAGAGGGTGCTGATTTTCTCGCAAAATCATTTAAATTCACAATTACATCACAGCCAAAAATTGCAGCAGATGTTATTGATGCCCAGGCGGCTGTTGCGAGAGGATTTCGCTCATTCCGATTCATTCGTCTCACTGACTCTGCATGTCCAGACGTGGACTTACAGCCTCAGCTTTGTGGGGCTGTAAAGGCTCTGGAGCCGTTAGCAGGACTTAACGAGTTCTGGTTCCCAATGGGGACGCACGGCGCCGTCAGTGAGGAGGGCAGCAAGCTCAGCATCAAGGGCAAAATATCAAGAGAGACAAGGAAATTAAATACCGAATGTATCATAACGTGCAGTAGAACAGCACTCACTGCACTTGACAAAAGTGATTCATAGTGATGATGTCACGGCTGGTAGATCTAAGTGAGGCGAAGTGAAAATTATGGTTGGACGGGTCTGTCGCTGATGAGGTCTGCTGAGCAGGGCTGCTGCAGCATTCCGGACGGAGTGCAGATCCCGGGAATGGCCATTAGCGAGCCTGCGGCTTTCACTGCGCCGTACAGCTGTCCTGTGCAGGGAGGCACTGGGGCCCATTAGCGGCAGGCTGTGGCTGCGATGGGGCTGCTTCACTGGACGCTAGTGGACTTCCTCCTCGTCAGCCATGACTGCTATAAACACCCCGGTGTTTCCAAACATTCCTCTGACTCATCTGTTTATATCTTGCATCTGTGGTCACATGATATCAGGCCTAGTTATGAATAATCACTTATTTAAAATGAGTTATTCACTATTTTGTGAACAGGCCTACACACATTTTTTTAGTGCAGCATGTTTGTTTTGCTGCTGGGTGTGCATTTATCCCTGCTGGTGTGAATTCTTTTTTTGACATTATATGTGGGCATGTAATTACAAAGGAGTCCCTGATCCTCTCAGCTTTGTGGGTCTCCTGAAAGCCTTGTGTAGCCATCTCCACCTCCTGTCCACAATGTCTTCTTTCCTTAATGACACATGGTCACATGACCAGTCAATCACATGACTGTTTGCTTAAATGCCTTTCCGAGTCTTTCGTCACGCAGAAAAAACATGGGTAATTGTAATAGCCAGTGCTAATTCCTCACTGAAATCGATACGTGCCTCTTGTAGCCAGTACTGTTCTTAGCCAGTGTGACGTGCTAAGTGAGCATCATCACTGATGCCCCCCCCCCCCCCCGCCACCCCCCGTTTGAGGCAAAATCAAGTTGGCTCTCAAGCTGGCCCCCCCTCAGATTGTCCGGCCCTGTTCAAAACAATATCAGAAAAACAGAAGACTTTGCAAGCCTTCGTTCCCAGCAGGAAGATAAACAAAACAGGGACTGGAGATGGGAAGAGGGACTTTATTTGGGTACGAGAGAGACGGTGTGGTGAACATGGAGGAACTAAAGACTCTGGCACTGATGCAGGAAGAACAAGCAGCAACACAAAATGGTTACGCAATACCAATGGCACAGGTGACATGAAACACCACCTGACTATTATCTACTTCAGCACCTTTCAGAATGTTTGCCATCCGTTGGGACATCCACCACCCACCAAGATGCCCACCACCGTCTTGTCAGTAACAGGTGTAATCCTGGTGTCGCTGTGGCTCCTTGGTGGAGGTCCTGATTGGTCCTACCTAAACCAAGAGATGTTGGTGGAGATCGCATAGGATATAGAATTGGGCAGAATTGATTATTTTCATGCACGACTAAAGCTCGCACTAAATAGGTTGAGATTGTGACATCTTTGACATTACATAATCCTATTCAAGACATATGAGCAAAATTTATGCAGGACATAGTAAACCTGATTTAATGAGAATTTCAGGATTGTGTTCATACAAGCCTATGGGTAACACTTGACGGTGCACAAATATTTGTAATAATTGTAATACTGTAATAACTCAGTTACTGCTGAAGCACAAATCATGGACATAAAAATGCATCCCAATTCATTAATGAACAAACATGAGATCAGTATTTCACTTCACTTCATGACTTGTTCCTTCAGTGGTTCACAAAGGTTTACAGAATTAACAGATATAGCAACAAATGTAGCAACTGCTTGGGATAAAACATGTGAGGCCGCCTTGTGGGGACATTCATTCATGATGAACGAACACGAGATCAGTATGTAACTAAGACAGTTTGTGGTTAATTAATACATAAGTAATAACATAATACTATATTATTTGTGGCCCATCAAGTAAAGTGTTTCCAGTCTAGGATCTGATATTCCTGTTGCCTGAGGTGCCTTTGCTATAGAAGGTATAATTAATCAGCTTAATTTGGTTGGGAAAGGCTTTGCAAGGAGGAAGTTTAGATGCTTTCCTGAGGGTCTGACGGTCGACCCTCTTCGGATGTTTCCACCAATGGTTGTCAAGCCTCTCTGAGTGCTTCCAGTGAGGTCTTCCTTCATGAAACCCACTGCTTAACCAAGGCGTTGTTATGGCACTTCGAGCGATGTCTGCGTGGCCGTGCGTTTGGGAGGGAACGGGCCCCCGTGCGGCTGCTCCGTGCTGCTCCACCTGCCAGCGTGACTCCATGCTGTATCCGCTGGTGGACAGATGGTGCGTGGCACTGCAGCACCTCCAACTTAATATACGGGGCATATGGGCACGCGGTGTGGGGAGGACGCCAGCCAGGCGGGGCGCTCTCTGGGCACACGCTTCCAGAACGCTCTGTTGGCAGCTCGCTGGACGAACCTTCCGAAGTTTGTCACAGGCTGTCAGACCTGCGGCATGCAGCGCTAATGCAGAGACAGGCCTCAAGACGCAGAAAGATTCCACGGCGATTCCCAAGATTTGAAGGGTTTATGTTTATATTTTGCCCATTTCTGCTTCCGCTGAGACTCACCGGGCCGGATCTCTGTGAACGTCCCGCTAACTGGCATGACTGCGCTGCAGTGCCAGCTGGCAACCACCAGAGGGCAGCATGTCCCATGTCTGCCACTGCCGCAGTGAAATCAAACCACTCCAAAGCTATGAAGCATTTTATGCTTTTTTAGAGGCTTTATAATGGCAGATTCTGCTCTGTATGTTTCAGTAAGTTCACATGAACCCTCTAGGCAATACCAGCTACCGTTGTGAAGCTTCTCGGAGTTACTGGTGACACTCCAAGCTGCCAGTGAGATGGGACACCCTTCGAAGCTTCTTACGTGTCATTAGCATCTCGCCGCTATGTTCCACAGCCCTCCTAACAACCTTTAATTACCTCCTAAACAGCTATAATGCCGAATGGCTGCAAACGGCGAGGAGAGGCTCTCTGGCCGGACCCCGCCTTTACCGCCCTCGCTCTGTGCTTCTCGTCGAGCACCTGGCACCGCCTTGGTCCGCGCCATCTGCAGCGAGCGCGGGGGTCGCCGTGAGCGACAGCTCCCAGCACGCTGCTTCCCCCTGATGGCCGCTTCCTGCCATGTGTTCGCTTTGTTCCTTTTAGGTAATCCCACCCCCCCCCCTCCTCTCTCCCCACCGCCCTGCCACTAAACACGCCGCTTGTTCTTCAGCCTGCGGACGGCCGTCCTGAAGCAGCGTGGTGCAGGTGACCCCAGGATCTATGCAGTCACTGTGCAGCCGGGTCCGGTGAGCTGCGTGACCGCTTGAAAAAGCACCAGGCCAGCAGAGGCATGGGCCGGTTTACAGTAAAGTGTCCAGTACATACAACTTGCTGGCATCTGTTATTCAAGCATGAATGATCACTGCAGCAATCAGGTGATGAAGGAGGTGGCTGATGGGTAATTAGCTGGCAGTAGACACTTGCGCTGTGAGGCCAGCATCTCCGGCCAGTGAGGAAGCCGCATTGGAGGTGAACAATTTTAGGGTGAAGGGACTGGAGGTCCTGCAACTTTGGATGGATGGATGGAGATATAACTCATGAGCCCCTGGTTCTGGTTTCATCTATAATGGAGCAGGGAGTGAGCAGAAATAACCACCCCCCTCCCCAAACTCTCTGTGGTGTCTCTACATGCGCCAAACCCCCATCCCACCATGCCGAGGTTGCGCTCTGCTCACGCCATCAGCTGCATTAACCCGGGCTGCGGGTTTTATTGCGCTGGACGCCGCAGTCAGCCAGCGAGCCGCGCCGTCTCCATCTGCATGCATCACGGCATCCGCGTTAAAGCACCGCCTCCCGCGCATCGCCGCGGTGACACTCGGGCCGGCCGCTCTGCCCGTCGAAGGCCCACAGGCACAAATCACGATCGCTATGGTGAAAATCGCAGGCGAAACGCAGGATCCGGTCTTGGGAATTTTCCATGACGTCAGCGCGGTGTTGGACGCGCGCAGATCAGGCCCTGGCCGTGTCTGACGTGTATAGGCTGTCCGCCCACACTTTTCTATACCATCTGCTGCGTGGCTTTGCTTTCGGGTGCGTCAGAGTCGCCAATGCACCGACGCATATCGCTACATATCAGCGTGACCCCGGCCGCACAAGGTGCCTTATAAGGTTACTGGTTTCGATTGTTGTCTCGGTATTTTTGAAGCATTGCGATCGAAGTCCAGAGCGTGGTTTGCTCAGCTCTGGTAACCAAGTGCTGGTGACCTCACGTCTGCTCGCGTGTCCATTGAGCTCACTTCCTGTTTGGCGCTGTGATTGACTTCCTGGTCCCATTTGGAGAACTGCTTCCTTAGGGATAGGTAGACAAAGGAGGTGTTCGGGAGTGAAGACACATTGCCCTGCGGATGTTATGTAACAGTGAAAGTGGGTGGAGCACATCGCTAAGATGTGTCGCCGCCCTGCTGGTCACCCGTCGGTTGTGGTGACTGTCATGGAGACATGCCAAGAGCATCAGACTGAGACCTGAAAGTGAGTGAGCAGGTCTGCCAGGGGACAAAGCCGTCGCTGTTTATGTTCCAGTCACGGAGGGGTGCTTATTCACCCCAATCAATGATGACACTCATCTTAACCCACAGAAGCTTGGATGTCATTCTGGGAGCCTTGCAAACCCATTCAGGACTTGAATCCATATTCTGTATGTTTAATCGTGAATAATGACTTGGCAGTGTTCTGAAGTACAAGCAGAGGTTGGTAATTCAGTGCAGAGAGTAGAAGTCCAGATCTAGATTTTGTTTCGACCAACCAGCTGAATATAAAGTCACAGTCACAGAATATTCAACTGCTTGGCTGAAACAAAAGCTTGGGTTTCATTTTTACTCTCTGGACCTCTAATTAGAAGAATGTTTTGGGACCTTGGTTGGGAATTTGACCATTGTCTCTGCAGGATTTGATCCCACAACCTTCTGAATGTGGGCACAAACCAGCTGTGCTACTCAGCAACCAAGCTAAGGGTATCGCCACACTATAGACCAGGGGTGGCCAATCTTATCCGCAAAGGGCCAGTGTGTATGTGGGTTTTCGCTGCAACTGCCTAATTAGATTACTAATTAGAGGACTGATTGGCTGAAGAGTCCTCACACCCGAGTTTGAACAGCTGACCTACAGGTTATCCCAAAAACCTGCACACACACCGGCCCTTTGCGGATAAGATTGGCCACCCCTGCTATAGACCAACACAAGAATGAATTTTAAAGCACCCCAGAATGGCATCTTTGATCACCTTAGCCCTACCATTCATCAGTTCTAAGAAGTACCGTGTAAAAAAAACAGTGCCCAAGTTTGACTGACTTGGCAAAATAAAAGTCCAAACCCTCAAAAATTTCCAGCTGACAGCAAGGTGTTGATATCTGAGCTGGTGCCTCCAGATTATTTTCAATCATTTTTTTTTTGCCTGCTGTTGAAACAGTTTGCTGAAGCACACAAGGCTACCAGCACACGAACACAAAAAATGAACTGTGATCTTCCTAAGCAGGAGGATACTGTTCTCAGTGGTGCCCTACATCTGACCAGCAACACCCGTGAGCGTAGCGGTTATGTGAATGAGATGAGGTGCCGGCGGGGACAGGGCCGCACGGTGAGCAGCGCCATGAACCGCTCGGGGACCTGGGCACCGTCACGCTTCCAGGACGACGTGACGACAGCTACTGCTCTGCTTCCACGAGCTCGACCGTGACTTCTACATGTATAATCCCAAGGCAGTCACTCCAAAAAGAGGATAATCCTGTCTAAACAGCGCGTGTACCAGAATATGCTAGCTGTTCATGAAGATTAAAAGCGCTTTTCTGATCTCTATCATCTATTGAAGCAACAATGAGCCTTTCTCAGTTGGATCAGATGCTGTATAAGAGCTAATGCTGTGGAGCAGAAGACAGCAAGCAAGGGCACACAGCTCTCTGCTGCCCCCAGGTGGTGAGGTGACAGCTCTGCAAATGAACTCAATCTTACAGTGTGACACAGTAGGTGGCAGTATCATCTCACTTTCAGGGTTTTGGGAGGTTGGGGTCCTGATTCCACTGTTACTCTGTGTCTGCAGTTTAGATGTTTCCCCCGAGCTGATACATCATTAGGGTAACTGGTGTCTCCAAACTGCCCATAGGGGTTGACTGTGACCAGGTTAAGTGGTTGAAAGATGGATGGATGGAATATTATAACAGAAGCCGATAAATTCAATAACGACATGAAAGATATTGCAGGGGACTTCATGACTCGATGAGCACATTTCCAAAAACAAAATCCTACCAGTGAATCATCTACATAAGTAACCTTCATGTTACCTTCAATGTTCATGCCGACATTGGCGGGAATAGGGACAGGAATCTGAAAAGTAAAAACGTTCTGGCGGTTTTCATTTTGGGACTTTTCCATGTTGAGAGAGGAGGAGACAGAGAGCCGCTCTCTCCCCAGCCGATGGGGTTTTGGGATGAGGGCTGACACTCTCGGTGAGGTGCTGTGACAGTGGCATTTCTGCGTCGGTCGGCTAAGCGTTACGAGGCCTTTCGGCCCAGTCTGAAAGTCACTTCCTGTTTGAGGAGGATGCATGCGTACGACGGTGTTGCTCCTCTAGTATCCCAAGGGAAATACCTCCGGCGACAGACTGTAAGTAACGAGTCGGCATGCATGCAGACCTATAGCCGTGAGAGGGGGACTGGAACTGCATCCTTAACATAGTGGAAACACCCCATGGTGAATGATTTGTGACACATTAAATAGCAGTTTGAAGACCTCTGCCTGACACTGAATGTCCACAAAAACATAGGCAGTCTTTATTTGGAAAAACCATTTTCAAAATGCAACTTGCGGGGGGGGGG